CATAATGAAAAAAAATTATAAGAGAATCCAACCCAAATACACATACCATTTTCGACTCGATCTGTCCGTTTTCCATTGGAATCTATGATCAATAGCGTATTGCGTCATCACAGCCTTTAAAGTTCCCTTGTCCTTATAAACTTGATCTTCCAACACTACCTTATGTTTGGCGTTTGTAATAATGTCGCAATTCATGTTATCGCTATTGTTCGGTACACTAAGCACTAATGATTTGTATCAACTATAACTATTCCACCAGGCCCACACATTTCGAATCCATCTTTTCAAACATATTTCTATCAGCTAATTGACAGTCATTCACAAATACGGATACACATATAGGATACTTTGACAATTCTTTGTTATCTTTTTTCAACGACACATACACTCTCACGCCCATGTCGTTGTGTATTTCAAGAGGTGCAGTACTACCCTCTATCTTATATTTAAGTTTCACAATGTTGAAGCTCAAGTCATCACAAATTTGCTTTGAAACAAGATCCATTATTTCTCTAAATGTCGCATGCTCTTTTAACACAATTGCTTCTGCACTGTAATCAACATAGCAGTTTTTATTGTTCTACCTCCCAGAATGCATGACCAATAAACTAATGCTTCCCATGGCTACAATAACAAATATATAAGTGATGATCACATTTCAATAGTATTCCAAAATTAAAAAAAATGTGTCCAATCTACATTCAAAAAAGTGTACGCTTCAAAGGGTACCAAAATCGGTAAAGATTGAACTCAAATTCACAACTTTTATCACACACTAACGACCGTTTCAAAATTAATACATATAGAATTTCATATTGTTAAAAACAAGAAATAAAAAAAACATAACTAATATGGGTCTAAACAGAATCAAACACATATCCAGCCGTACACATCATATAATCATATATAATTATATTATTGTTGCTTATATTGTTCAGAGATTTTATACTGATATAAATGGAACATAAGATGATCTTCCAAAAAAAATTCAAATCATACAAACATTTAACATATTCATATTAAAAAATTTAAAAAAATACCTGATCTTTAAAGTATGAATAAAACCGAAAGGAATAAATTGTTGTTGTGGGATTCGAAAATTTTCGCTTTCAAAAAATTTTCGTATTCGATTATATTTGCAAAATTCGAATTGTATAATAAATCTTCTTTATCAATTGAATAATAGAGGAGACAAATCTGTTTA